TATTTTGTGTGTGTGCATGTGTGTGTGTTGCAATTCTGAAAACGCTCAGAACATCACTTAATGGGAGCAGAACTCTGCTTCCTGACAATTTCAGCTGCTTCCTTTTTTTTTTTTTAATGTAAACAACCCCCAACCAAGCTTCTGGTCCTTATGACTAATGAAATCCCAGGATGCAAAGTGGTGGGTTGAGAAATGGGCTTCAGCGTCTCATGTACCTCTGTGCCCCCCCCCAACCCCAACATGACCAAAACGAGAATTATGCACAATTATGTTTAAAAAAAATGCACACAAAATAAAATTCATGCCATTTTGCTCAAGTCGTTTAATTTATCTTTAGATGCAGAACTGAGCTTTTCCTGGCATGGAATTCAACTTGCTCGGGTGGCATTTATTTATTTATTTATTTATTTAAGCACAAGGTCCATACAGCTCTTGTGCATATTTCTTTGCAACTGGTCATGAACCACATGAAAAACTACCCTGCTTGGATTGCGGGGACGTTGATTGTATTGCTGGTAGCAGTCCTAATTGCCTGCTGTTCAACAACCACTGTGTTGCTCAGATTGGGCAGCCATTGCAAATTAGGTGAAACAGTATCTCTTGATGGAACAGTTTCTGTGAGTGTGGGAGTATGTAAACTTTCCTGTGGATCAGAACACTTACATCAGGGGGGAAGTTTTCCCTCTGCCACAGAGCTTTGGGCAGCGAACCCTTTTGCCCTGTTTTTTCCCCCCTAATGGCTGGCAGTTTTGTTTCTGTGGACTGATTTTTGAACGAAACCTTCATCTATATAAGAATATAAGAAGAGGCTTGAAGCTGCATCAAGCCAATGGCCCATCTAGTCCAGCATCCTGTTCTCACAGTGACCAACCAGATGCCTGTGGGAAAACCCATCAAGCTGGATCTGAACCCAAGATCTCCCCTCTTGCAGTTTCCAGCAACTGGTATTCTGAAGCATTACTGCCTCTGCAGTTTGCTTTTTTAAAAAGGAAAAGGCTACTGAAACCTCTCCCCCACCAACTAGGGATAGCTGGTTCTGTCTGATTCTCATATTTTTTTTTCCCTATCATGAAGTAACTTCTCCCCTTTTCCATATCAGTTTGCGGAAATCCTCATGGAAAATCCATCACCGTTTTAGTGCGTGTTTTTCCTATATTGCACATTTACATGTACACACATTTTTGCAAGGGGATTTCCCGTGATGTGATGCAATTTTTGCACATTCTTTTGACTAATACATGCATTTTATGCACCCTTCGCCCTAACATCATGACTTGGCTGGAGGACTGCTCAGAGAAATTGGGAAAAGTGCAAACTTCTGAGGGTGGCTGTGTTTTGGCTTCTGTCTGGTTTTCGGAAAGTGCATGATTTGGGAGATACTTCTTTTAATGTGAACTTAATCAAATTCCTCCCTCATCCCTGCTAACAACTGAGATGCTGACAACAAACTTTTTGTTCTTGTTTTTATTATGCATTTTGTGTTTTTATGTTGCGTTTCACCCTGAAATCTACGAATGAAGAGTGGTATACAAATTTAACAAACAAAATAACTACTGAGAGTCAAGTGCTTTTTTTTTTTTTTAAGGCCAGTCTGAGGCTTAGCCTCTATGGGAAACATGTGAGTGTGAGAGCCAGTGTGGTATGGTGGTTAAGAGCAGTGGACTCGTAATCTGGTGAACCGGGTTCGATTCCCTGCTCCTCCACATGCAGCTGCTGGGTGACCTTGGGCTAGTCACGCTTCTCTGAAGTCTCTCAGCCCCACTCACCTCACAGAGTGTTTGTTGTGGGGGAGGAAGGGAAAGGAGAATGTTGGCCGCTTTGAGACTCCTTCGGGTAGTGATAAAGCGGGATATCAAATCCAAACCCTTCTTTGGGGTATTTCTCCCTGCCTTGCAAGCTTGGATTCTACCGAACCTGGACATCCCGCTGACTGGCACGTGCAACACACTTGCCCCTAGAAACGGCATCCATGACAACAGGACGGTTTTTGCCCTATGCCCCACCAGCGTGGGGCTGGCTTCCACCCTCCCTAAACCGTGAAAGAACAATGGACCGGCAGGTGAAAGGCGCCCAGTTGGGGTTTCGTGCCATGGCATGCAGTTGGCTCTGCCCTTTGCTGGCAGGAATCAGTGGAACAAAGGGGGGGGGAAGGTCATGGGAATTACAGGGTGTAATTTAAACAGAGGGCAAGCCGTCAGCAATTGGGGAGGGGGAGAGAAGGAAAAGTGCTTGGAGCCTAGAGACTCAGGAGCCAACATCTGACTGCTTAGTTTAAAAACACTGTGCAATGTCCTGCAACCGGCAGGCCCTCGTTGGGTCTTCCTGCCCCTGCTGGACTCCTCTACCCACAGTTCCACAGCCAGAAGGAATGCCTTAGGTGTGTTTTGCCCTCCTAATATAGGAACTCCTCCCCTGCCCCACACTCTGCAAAACGCCACATGCATTTCCACTCCTAAAATGGGCTCAGTGACGCTAGTTCCTATGGGAGTGGCGTAGCCTGCAAAATGCCCAAGGTACATTTTCAGTACTAAAATAGCCCCAATGACGTTAGTCCCTGTGGCAAGTTCCCTTCCCCCACCCCCAAAGTCCCACAGCCTGCAAAATGCACTGAGAGTTTTCACTCTTAAAACAGCCTCAATGACGCTAGTCCCTATGGGAGGTTTCCCCACAGTCCCTTAGTCCGCAATATGCCCTTGGTGTGTTTTCATTCCTAAAATAGCTTCAGTGATGCTAGTCCCTATGGGAGGTTTTCCCCAGTCCTATTGCCTGCAAAAAGCTTTGGGTGTTTTCACCCAACTATGTTAGTCCTTAACGGGATTTTTTCTCCACATTCCTAGCCTATCGTTCTCCACAACTCCCATCAGCCTCAACAAGGATGGCCAAAGATGGCTGGAGCTGTAGTTCAGAAACATTTGAACATTTAAGTTCTTTCAATATTGTTATAAATTTCTGTGATATCTCTTTATGGTACAGCAATATATAAATATTTTTAATAAATCAATAAACACCTGTAGTTAGGCAACATCTGCTCTAGATGAAGTAGAATATAAAACATGAAAAACATACACAACACAAACTAAAGCAACAACGCAACCAGTTAAAAAAACAACAACACTGGTAGAACTGTAAAACAACAAGAACCTCAAATGCAAGTTTAAGCTGATCGCAGAATCAGAGAAAAGGTATCAAGCAAGCCTTTACACTACAGCATTCCATAAATTGTAGGGGGAGCCACCACCAAGGAGGCTCTCGTTGCTAACTTGTGCTTCAGAATGTTTATAAGCGCAAACAGCATCAAAAGCAGAATGGCAGATAACCACCCCAATATCACCATGAGCTCAAATCTTAATGAAAGCACCACAAATAGAACACCTGGAGAGAGCTGAAATGGTGAAGGAAAGCCTTCTTGGAGAACTTTGTACATCAACATTCTGGAGAAGACCAATTGTTAGGCAATGAGCAATTTGAAGACATTAAGGGCTCTGCCAGACTGATGTTTCATTACTGGTATATTCTGAAACATGTTCTTGACAGAGTAATGGTGCATTAGTGATGGATTTATCGTGCTTTTGTTCTGTGATGCTTCCACATTATTGCCATCCGACAGAGCTAAAGTGCAACAAATATGGGACAAAAATAAACCAGACTATTTGTGGATAAAAAGTAATGAAATTTCAGCAGCAAGTTACAGGATACACACTGATGGAAATGAAGCGCAATGTGACAGGCGCAAACAGTATTGAAAAAAGGATTGTGTGTGACTGCCCTGATAGCATCAAGAGCACAAATCATCATGAATGTGCAATAAAAAGGATATCCGGAGGGGCCCTGATTCCCAAGGTGTGGTTTTATTACACGAACAGCTTTGAGACGCCTCTTCCAAAGTCTCTTCGGAGAAACACAGCAGAGGCGGGGATGGGGGTGGCTTGCTTTCACAGCCTCCTCCACTGCTCACCTATAACGAGGCCGTTTACAAGGAGGTGTGCAGACATGCCCTGCAAAATTCATTTTTACAGCCTGTGTCGGGTCATAAAAAGGTGGTAAAAATTCATAGTATGGAAAACAAGCCCAGCTGTTCGTCTTTGTGGTGGAAGAAAGAGATCCAGGTTCATTTTGCAGATGATGCATGCATAGAGGACAGTGCTTGGGCGAGTGGCTGGGGGTCTCTTACTCTCACTTGTGTATATGCCAGTATCAAATGGTTAAGATACACGCCTGGTGTCAGTGCCAAGCTAACCAGGCCTACCTTTCAGGCTACGCATGAATGAAGACTGTGCTTGGGAAGTGGGTAGGGTTTTCTCTTTCTCGTTACAAAATAATGTATCTGTACAGTTCAAAAGCACGCCCAAAAGTGCTAGTAGATAAATAGGTACCACTCCTGTGGGAAGGTAAATGGCGTTTCTGTGCGCTGCTCTGGTTTCGCTGCTCCGTTGCGCCAGAAGCGGATTAGTCATGCTGGCCACGTGACCCAGAAAAACTGTCTGCGGACAAACGCCAGCTCCCTCAGCCTATAGAGCGAGATGAGCACCGCAACCCCGGAATCATTCGCGACTGGACTTAACTGTCAGGGGTCCTATTTTTTACATGTAAGTATTGTATGGTTAAGACACAGGCCTGGTGTCAATGCCACACTTAACCATGGCTGAATTTGCACAAGCTATGCATATGTAGAGGATGGTACTTGGGTGTGTGATAGAGTCTCTTTTACTCTTATCATTTCAAAATGATTTTTGTGTATATGTAGGCACCAATGTCATGCTCGGTGTTAATGTCATGCTGACCAGGGTTTACTGCTCCCCCACATCTCAACCTCAGCTTGCAGGCCTGTTTCATGCCCTGGTTAAGAAAGGAACTTCGGGTAGCATTAATCCCTGGAATCTCCAAGTAAAGCTGGTGATGTCCTCCTCTCTGAAACCCTAGAGAGCTGCGGTTGGTCAATGTAGATGGGTCAATGGTCTGATTTGATATAAGGCAGCTTCCTATGTTCCTAATCTAGAGAAAGGGTTGTAGCTCACTGGCAGAGCATCTGCTTTGCATGCAGAAGGTCTCAAATTCAATCCCTCACATCTCCAGGTAGGGCTGGGAAGGTCCCTGGTCTGAAACCCTTGACAGCCACTGTCAGGCAGTGTATAGAATGGTACGCTGGATGGATCCACGGTCTGACTCTGTACAAGGGCAGTTTCTTATGTTTCTCTGTAACAAAGCAGATCTCGAAAGCCTGAAGTTTTCTCTTCCCGCCATACAGTACATGAGAATCTCTTTCCCCCCGAAAAACTTACAGGTAATCCAAGTGCTCACTATCATGTTCTGGGGACACAACAAAGCCAAGAAGGAACTAAGGTGAAAACTGTTTAGAAAGAAGACTTCGTCCTTTAGTCCACAGGCATTTCAAGGTCGATTCATTTTCTCAGGGTCAAGAGTTCATAAATAAATCAAGGCGGTTGGAAGGGGCTCACTGAGCATTCACAGACTGAAAACATCCTGAGTTTCAAATGTTCATAAATTTGTTTAATCCAAGGCAGTTGGAATCTGCTCATCTCTATATTATGCTCATGGTTTCTGATTGCCTTTCTGCCAATTTTGGTTTCTTCTTCTCTGTTTCGCATTTTTTCCAATATGCAGTTCAGTTCTCCACTTTTCAGCATCAATTTGTGGTTTATTTATTTTAAAAGTCCTCCTGAAAATTCACCAGCAGTTTAGTATGAATTTCTCCTAATATACACCTTTTCGCAAGGAGTGTTTGATTTATTGTATTTCTATGCCGCTTTCCATTCAAATCAATCTCAAAGCGGCTTAAGAACAATAAACAACAATAACATGATAGAACATCACAAATACAGCATAAATCAAATAATATAATTAATGAACTATCAATAAAACACTAACAATCTATAAAACATTGACGAAGTAGCAACTAAAAATAAACATCACAATTAGCAAAAGTAATATTATATGATGAACAAATCAATACAGTCAAATATACATGCATTTGCAAAGCAATTTCCCCTAATGTAATGCATATTTGTCTGCTATTTTCATTAATGTACTCATTTTTATCCACACTTTTATTCATTTTCGTACACATTACTTCGCTGGAAAATTCCACTGCAAAATTCAGAGAGGTATGACTTTTGCACGGTTGGCTGTGTTTCAGTTTGTGCATTTTTTCCGGAAAGTCTGAGTTAAGAGAAGTTTGCCTTTGAATGCACACTGAATAGAATTTCTCCCCCATCCTTACTTTCAGGGAAGGGCCCAGATTCCCTGACACTAAATGAACTGTGCTGCGTGAAAGAGTACTTTCTTTTGTCTGTACCGAATCTTCCATAATTCAGATTCATTGGATGGCCACAAAGTTCAATACTATCAATGGGAGAAAAACTTACCCACTTTCTTCTCACAATGCTTAATTTTACACACCTTTTACTTGTCCCTAAGGACCAAAATGTGTGGTTATACAAACCAGGAACAGTGCATTCTTAGCACACAATTAGAGAAGAAAAAGTGGGGTCCCCAAGCTTTGAGGTACAGTGGGAATGGGGAACCTCAGGTGCGGGGGCCAAATCCCTGTCTATTTGGCCCTCATGACTCTCCTCAGGCAATAAACCCTCCCAAGTTACTCTCCTCAGCAGCTTTGTTTTTTACACACACACAAACACAGCGTTTTTTGCCTGGCTATAAATGCATCCTCGAAATCTGATAAAGACTCTTGCTCGCCTGGATAGAGAAGGCTGTGTGTGTGCAAACTAGCCTACTGTACAAAGATGAAATTCCCATTTGTTGCTCTGCCCATTTTTGCCTGGCACTATCATGTGGCCCCCAGAAGGGAATGTGGCCCTTGGGATGAAAAAGGTTCTCCTCTCCCTACCCCTGCCTTACTGGGAACTCTGCCTGTACCACCACCTTAGGCCCATTACTCGTCTCCATGGAGAACCACAAGGCCAGAGCCACTGAACTGACGCATTCTCCGATACCCGGCCTGACAGTTTGGCGATGACCATTACCATTTCGTTTTGTCAGGGCCTCGGCCTTTTCTGCACCACTTTGAAGGCAGCAGCAAAGAGATAGCAGCTTCCAGGGGAGCAGGCAGCAGGAGCCGTTCCCTGAGCGTCGCTTAAACGTCCGACCGCACTCATTCAGCCCCCACCGGCCCGTGACAGGCTTTGACAGCCAGACTCCTTAATTCCTTTTTCTTATTCCCTTAATCTGTCATCTTTATCAGGCCGGGGAAGTGCCAAGCAGCGTGCAGGAGCCCCAGCCCCGATCAATCTCCACATTACAGCTGACAGAATGGTGCTAATAACTTATTGATCTCGTGTTTGCCGAGCCCCGCCGGGGCCAAAAAGCCTGCCATTGATTGGCTTGAGGGAAAAGGAACCTCTCGGGCTGAGCGCCGAGCGGAAAGCCTTCAAATTGTCTTCTTCCCAAGGAGCTCAAAGACAGAGTGAGGGGAGGCGAGAGGGAAGGTAGGTGGGAGAGGAGGGAGAGATGGGAGAAAACTCTCTCTCACACACACGGTAGTTTCGGGGTTGAGAAAATAATGGGGAGAAAAGATGGGAAAGGAGAAAATTAGAGGCAATATTTTGTAATAAGGGAGCCACTAGATTCTTGGAGGAGAAGCCTGGCAATGGCTACTAGCTAGCTGGAACGGCTATTTTCTCCCCCACTCTTATCAGAGGCAGTATGCCTATGAATGACAGTTGCTGGGAATTACAAATGCTATTGTGCTCAGGTCTCATTTGGAAGCTTCCCCTGGGGATCTGGTTGAGAACGGGGTGCTAGACCGTGATGGACTTTTGTTCTGATCCAGCAGCCCAGCTCTTCTTATGGTCTTATTCAGCATACCCTCCAAGGCTTACTTTAAAAGGAGGTTACACAACTTTATAGAGGGGAAGGCTAGCACCTGGCTATAGGCCACTGTGGTCCTGTTCCACCTCCGCTGTTGGGAGGCAGTATACCCATGAAAACGAAGTTTGTGGGAATTTCAGGTGGGCAGACTGCTCATTGGGGCACTGTGAGGACAGGGTATGCTGGGCAAGATGGGCCCTTGGCTTGATCCAGCACACAACTTCTTACGCTTCTAGGACTTTGGTACGTTTGACACACAAATGTGTGTGACATGGAGGAATCACTACAAGATGAGTTTCTCCCTCAGTACTCAAGGTAAAACTTGACTTATCAAAGTCCACCCCACCTCTCACAGGCAAGTGGCAGGTTTGAGGAGGCTCTTGAGATGTGATGGGACCACCTTCTAATTGTGTGTCCTCTTGAGGTTCCCTGGGGATGGGCAGGCTTGTTTTGTGGTATGCTAAGAGTGGCTCCCTTCCATTTTTTAGCTGCTATACAGAGTGCCATCTCTCCTCCAGGCATCCACCATTTTGTTTTCCATCCATGATGACTTGGGGACATTTCTAGTCCCACCTGGAGATGGTACCCAGGACACCTTCTGCATTCAAAGCAGACAATCTACCACTAAGCTACGGCCCTTCCCTTAAGACACAGGAAGCTGCCTAATACTGAGTCAGACCACTGGGACCATCTAGCTTAGTGCCGCCTACACTGGCTGGCAGCAAGTCACTGGGATTTCAGGCAGGTGACATTACCAGCCGTAGCTGGAGATGCTGGGGATTGAAGCCAGGACCTTCTGCATGCAAAGCAGGTGTTCTACCACTGAGCCACAGCCCTTCCCCACAGCGGAGAAAGTGGGGAGAGAGATAAATGCAAAACACAAGAAAATGGAAGAACAAAATTCTAGAAGTGAAGTGTGAGGAGGAAGGGAGGGAGGGGGGAAGCCAGGAATGAGTGACTGGGAAATTGAAAATGGGTGGTGGTGATTTGCACTGCAAAGTCTCCCCTGAGTTCTTAATTGGTTGGGCTCTTCCCCACCCCCACGATGCAGCTGCTCCCTGGCCAATTAGTTTCCCACTGCTAGAGAGAGAGCACAGCATCCACGGTGGAACAACAAGTCCTCCTGGCAGTCTGTTCAATACCTCTCTTTTGCAACTGCGGAGGGGGGCAGGTCCCTGGTTAATTTATGAGCTGTGCGGTCACATTACCGGCTTAACCCTTACATCTCAGCGGCCTTCAGGCGCGCCAGCGGACTGGGCCCCCCTTGCTCAACTTCAGCATGTCACGATGTCAAGTCCATCCAGGGGAGCAAAGGAAGCTTTCTCATGCAGAGGCATAACCACAAAAAAGTGCTGGAGGCACAGAATGCAAGAAAAATGAGAGGATAAGGTTCTTAAAGTGCCCCCTCCCAAGTTTATTGTAGCTGTTAATGCCCGACACTCAGCTGCATGTGACTAGGGAACAAAATTCAACGTATTTTCCCCCCTGTACTGTTTTAATGAAAGGAGCTGCTCCAGAAGAAGGAAAGCTTTTAATTACAATAAACTTTAAAGGTAAAGGGACTCCTGACCGTTAGGTCCAGTCGTGGACAACTCTGGGGTTGCGGCGCTCATCTCGCTTTACTGGCCAAGGGAGCCGGCGTACAGCTTCCGGGTCATGTGGCCAGCATGGTGAACCAGAGCAGCGCACGGAAACACCATTTACCTTCCCGCCGGAGCGGTACCTATTTATCTACTTGCACTTTGACGTGCTTTCAAATTGCTAGGTTGGCAGGAGCAGGGACCGAGGAACGGGAGCTCACCCCGTCGCAGGAATTCGAACCACCGGCCTTCTGATTGGCAAGCCCTAGGCTCTGTGGTACTTTTGACAAAAACCCTGTTGTCTTTCTGGTTTTCTTATACTTGGATGGCTTTATAATAAGATTATGGCCCATCTAGTTTAGTACTACACATACTAGCAGCAGCTGTCCGGGGTATCAGGTAGGGTGCCTTTGCCCAGCACACAACATTCCAAGAACCTCTAAAGAAAACTGCTGGCTGAAGAATCAGCAGGCATGAGCATTCCTCTCCACTTGTATTCCATGACTGGGCGTCTGCCCAATTTGATCAAAGGCAGCGCTCCGTGAGCAGAGAGATAATAACTCAGGTTATCAGATGATAACCGCTATTATGTGAATAACTCCATATGCCAATTCACCCGTGCTCTAGGAGAGGAAAGCAAGGAAGCGATCTACTTATATGAAGGAAGCAATTTGCTTGAAAATGTTTCCCAACCTCTTAGGATCCCAGATTCAAGAAAACCAAAACAGCATAGAAATTGATCGTCCTGCCAGTTTGAAGAAGAGGGGGTGGGGAAACACAGACTAAGTAACTGGGGGAGGGGGCAATTTAAATCACCCCCATCCTCAGTTTAAACAAACACCAGCCACAAGAGGGTGGAAAGGCTGTCATTGGTTCTCCTGTTCAAACAGCTCTTCCTTTTGCAGCAAAAAAGGCAGCAATGACTGCCTGAGATGCTTGACCGGAAGGAGTTGGCTTTCTGCTCAATTTCATGTGATGAGCAATCAGTTATAGGTTTTCTTTTAAATTAAAAAATAATAATAATTAAACTGGGAAGGTGCAGTCAGGTAGTAAAGCAAAAATCATACTTTCACCTCCCAATTTGCTCCTTTTTCCTCTTGGATCCCAGAAGAGGAAAGCATAGTAGCCCAGTGGTAAAATACCTGCTTTGTATCCTGGAAGGATGCTGCCAGTCAGTGTAGGCAACACTAGCTAGATGGGCCAAGGATCTGTCTCAATATAAGGCAGTTTCCTATTTCATATGTGAAGGGCTGTAGCTCAGGGGTAAAAGGGAGTTACAGTACAGCGAGACTTGTTTGAGAAAACAAGGACGGTTAAAATCTGAGTTATGAATTGAACAATAGCGAAGAACGCAGAGACTGTAATGAGGGCAAAAATCTCAAGACATCTGGAACATGGGGAGTCCCCTTTTGAAATTTTTTATAATTGGAATATATAATTGGTGGTATTATTATTATATTGTATTTTGAAATGATTTGATTGTATTTGTCATTAATTGGAGCACCAATTAATGACAAATGAAAATTAAAGACAAATTAGTGGTTGGAGCACCTGCTTTGCATGCAAAAGGTCCCTTAAGACACTGGAATATAGAAAGCTGCCTTACCAAGTCAAACCATTGAGTAAATCTAGCTTAGCACTGTACTGGCATAGTCCTTCCAGGTCTTCAGACAGGAACTTCTCCCAGCCCTACCTCAAGATGCTGGGGATTGAAACTGGGACCTTCTGCATGCAAAGTAAGTGCTCCAACCACTATGCTATGCTATCCCTCTTTCCCTGTTGCTTGCTTGCCTGCCTCCTTCTTCTCTCCCATTCCTGCCTCAAGTATACAAACTTCCCTATTTGCATGCATATCCTCCTCCACCCTCATGCCAGCCAGGCATCAACCACAGCCCATAACAGACTCTGCACTCCTAATACGCTCTTCTATGGGGTCTCCTCTGACCTTGTCACACGGCTCTAGGTCCCATCCTGCCAGAACTATGCTTCATGCTCCCCGCATGCTCTTGTGCCCATGTGCCCAGCACTGACAACATTCAGAAGTTCAAATAAATAATTTGGAAAGCTGTTTCCATTTGGAAAGCCAGTGAACCAGATCATGGTAACAGAAAGCAAAAATAAACTTAAAAATGGCACCATGACATACCTTTTAGCCATTGAAGTCAAAGTCACTGATTCTGGAGAAGTGAAAAGTTATCTAAACAAAAAACAAAAGTTACTGTGCCATATCCCACCCCTTCCATGTTGCTTCATTTCTTTCCTTCCTATAATAATCACATGAGCGGTCTCAACCAATCAGCAACCATAGGCTCAGGGTTCATGATCCAGGATCCCATGGGGGATGGCTAATAATAAGAGTCAAGACTAGGAATAGGGAGATTCCAATACAGTGGTACCTCGGGTTACATACGCTTCAGGTTACATACACTGCAGGTTACAGACTCTGCTAACCCAGAAATAGTACCTTGGGTTAAGAACTTTGCTTCAGGATGAGAACAGAAATCGTGCTCCGGCGGCGCGGCGGCAGCAGGAGGCCCCATTAGCTAAAGTGGTGCTTCAGGTTAAGAACAGTTTCATTTATTTATTTTTTTAAATGATATTTATTGATTTTCCAACCATTTAAACACAATAAAACAGAAAAAACAAAAAAAGAAAAGAAAAAGAAAAGGAGAAAAAAAATAAAGAAAAAACGTAAGATTAACAAAACAAGACGCAAACCATTTAAAACACAGAACAATTTCAATATCTTAACTTTCATTCCTTTATTTCCACGACCTCCTCACACCTCCCTTTTTGTATTCCACTTCTATTAATTGTTTCAGCAATTCCTTTCCATCTTCCTCTGTTTTCTATCCTATAATTATCTTAACATATTCTAATCTTATTTTTCCCTTTAATATTCTATTAGTCTATTTATACTTAATTCCTTATAGCATTTCTACTAAAGCCATATAACATCATTCCAACATTTTTCTAACATTCATTATTTTTTACAATATTTCTAAAAATAGTATTAAACTTTTTCCAGTCTTCTTCCACCGTCTCTTCTCCCTGGTCTCGGATTTCTGCCAGTCGTTTCCGCCAATTCCATAGAGTCCATCAACTTCATCTGCCATTCTTCCCGGATAGATAAATCTTGTGTCTTCCAGTACTTCACAATGAGTATTCTTGCTGCTATTGTTGCATACGTGAAAAGAGTTCTATCCTTCTTTAACACCAATTGGCCGACCATGCCCAGGAGAAAGGCCTCTGGTTTCTTCAAAAAGGTATATTTAAATACCTTTTTCATTTCATTATGAATCATCTCCCAAAGTGTCTTAATCCTTGGGCATGTCCACCAAAGGTGAACTCTAATCCTCAAATTTGTCTGTTTTTCTTTAAGTTCAGTCATAGCAAGCGTCAACTTATATTCATCAAGTTGCTTCTGTAGGGCTGGGGCTCTCTTGCTCTTTCTCTCCAGTTGTGTTTCTTTACATTCAGCAACAACAGCTTTTTCCCTGGCCTCCTCCGCAGTTTGCCGTATCGAAATAGGTTCCTGTGTCAATTTCTGGGTAGTTTCTATATTAGTATTATTTATACTTTCTATATTTAAGTTAGTTTTAATGACTGAAACATCCACTTTCGCATTTATCGTGTCCATTTTCCTATGAAGCTGATCCAATGAATCATTTATCTTAAATAATGCCGCCACTAGAGCCTCTTCTGTCGGACTTCTGGGTTAGCGCCATCGGCGAATGGCGGAGTTCCTTCGACCAGAGGAACTAGATCCGTGGAAACTGGGTCTTCCCGCCGCGGCGAAGGTGGGGACCCGCTAGAAATCCCAGGCGGAGGAAGCCTGGGAACGTGGGGTTCGGCAGGGCACCAGGAGCGCCCCCCCTACTCACGGGAAACCCCTTTTTGGGATTCCGGAGTGAAGTGGGGTGAGCGGCGCAGTGCTGCGAACTGACTGCTACTTTCACGGAGTGAAGCCGCACAGCCATCGCCGGAGAGCGCTGACTTTTTCCTGTGGACAATTGGATTTAAAACAAGTACCCGTGAGTAGAAATGGAAAATTGGATCAAGAAATATCTTAATTTGACATCGAAGCGGGAAGGTTCAAAACAGGAAGTCCGCCTTCCGCTTTTTGTATATAGACTGAAGCAAAAACCTTGTAAGCTAAAGCCTGGAAAGTCGTTAAAAAGCCTAAATTTCCTTCATTTATAACTACTGAAACCCCCTTGGAAGCAGGAGAAAGGGGGGGGACTTTGTGTAACG